TTAATCACCCGAAAATATCATTGTGGGAAGACACTTACCAGGTAAGAAGGGAATCACGATAGGAGATGTAGGGTTGCCGGGTGGTGCTGCGTGTCCTGTGGCCGCAATCCACCTGCGGAGTGCGAAAAGCAGTGGCCTTCGCTGCCATTGGTGTCGCATTTACCCTCATCGGAAGTACTCCGCGCTCTGTGGAGCGACTCGCAAACCGCCCGGAGGCTTCATCACTTAGTTGGGATATCACCTTCCCAAGCGTGAAGAGAGATTTATTTATGTGGCAGGATTCCTAGAAGACCAAGAAACAGTCATAAGCAGTCATGACCGCCAGCGAATAGATGAGTTGCATGTAGATGTGGACTTTGCATAACACAATTTAGATTAAAAAGTTACTGCAATTCCGGGTTGTGCTCAATGGAGGTGCGCCAATAGATTGGACCCCAGTTTAACTGCATCTATCGATCGTAAGGATAACTAAACAGACAAAACATAAGGATGTGTGTGTTGAGAATTGCTCTTGTTTGTACCATTAATACAGGGAGGTCAAGCGCATCGAACCATACAAACAAGTTCCCAAAGTCGTCTAGTTTGAAATCCATTACTGAAAGAAGCTACTTAAATGTTTTATTCTCAGTCCAAACAGGTGGTTTACGGGATGCCTCTACAAACTCGTATAACTAAGACAGGAATCCCTATCAGTATGGAACAAGTGTCCCGTTGAACGCACTACCAACACAGGCAAAAGCGGCTAATTACTACCCACAAAGAGGCGCATATGTTTTCTACTTACCTCCAACCCCCGTTTGACTAAGTTTTCACGTTGCTTTCTCCCAAGCACGTTTGATAAGGTTCCTTTCCAATCACATCGCGCCTGCACGAACCCCTCCCCAGCCCTCTGCATGTGCCATCCCCTACGACTCATCAGCAACCCCTGACATTGGCGAACCTGTCCAATTTAATTTCTCTAAGGTATAGGCTTGCTGAAAGCTATTTATACAAATATGCAATGAAGAAATCACAAAATGCATGTCTACTACTTGTCACACCTTGTTCAATGAAAAAAAAACGTTCAACATGGTCAAGCCAATCTTCTGACGGGTTGAAAATAATAAATTTTCCAAGTGGCAGAGCCCTCCCCCTCC